GGGGGGGGGGGGGGATATTGGGTCACTAAAGATTTTTCAGAAGAAGATATCTAGACTTTTTTTAAAAACTGGATTCCTACTGATGCACCAAGCATCTAAGGGTTTGTCTGATCTGTGCTTCTGCTATTTGCTTCATTCTTAGAAGTAATGACATTTTAAAATATTGTTTTCAAGAACCAAAGCACGTGAATAATTTATCTTTAAAAGCTAAGTGATGCCTTAACTTCCCCTTCAAAATTAAAATGCCTTGAGCTCCCCACCACTCAAAGAAAGAAGGTGGGGGGGAGCAAAATGACAGGGGAAGACATACCAAGGACAATCGCATCCCTTTCCTTTCTCTCCCGTCCCCGCTGGTTGCTGCCCACTTGTCTCATCCAAGCCTCTCATCTGCTAAAATAACTTGTCTTTTTTCCTTCCTTTCACTGAGGTAGAGACTGAAACTGTGAGTTCTCTAAAGACCTTTCGGAATGAAGTGTTCGAGGCCATGGTGGCTTTTAAAGAAAGCAAGCAGTGTGAGCTGGCTCGGGTAACAGCTACAGCTGTTTAACTGTGATGTGCCACACTACTCTTTATCACAAAAAAGACTTGTACGGGCATGTTCAACATCACAACTTCCAGCTGGCAGGTCTGCAGTCCCCACGGCACAATCCGCAGCCCTGCTAGGTGTGTGGGCTCCCTGTGCAGTGTGTAGTAAGGGCTGGGCATCTCCAAGGGAACCCCAAAGCTAGCGTACTATTTTTGTCCTCGGTCAATAGCAAACGCTTGTGTCTTAAATATTCTCCCCTCCCCTGGTAGGGCCGAGATGCTTTATCCGTTGTTGCTGGGAAGTACCTTGGCTCTGAGCTCATGCTTTTTTGCAGGCAGCATCTGTAGCCTTCTCTTTCGGATAGGGCTCATTCCTTTCTCTCAAAAAACCCCAAACTTCTGAGAAGGAATAGTGCAGGGCAGTGCTGCCCCCCCTTCTCCAATAGCTCTATACTTGGAGCATGAGCTCCTGGCTCTCCCCAGTCCTATGTCCAATTCCCACCCCGCCCCATTCAGGCATACCAGCCTTCCCTGTTCGAGTGGACCAGGGAGCAGAAGCAAATGTGAACCCCCTATCCTGCACACAGCCCCTCTCCCCCTGCTCCTCCCAGGAGGGACTCCAGCTCAGGTTACACATCCCTCACCACTAGGATTCTGCGTAAAAAAGGATGCACTGCCCCGAGAGTAGTGGCGGCTGCCCTGAATGTCCTAGGAAGTCGAGTCCAGTAAGACATGCTCCTCTGGAAAGGTAGGTGGAGGGATTTGTGAACTGTAGATCCCAAGCTGCTTAGCCCCACCATGCCTGGCTGCACCTTAGGTACCAGGGGATCTTTAATGTCCAAGTTATAGTACCTGAGGGACTCTGCCTCAGGATCAAGCAGTAGTTGAACAGGGATTTTGAGAATAAGTCCACAGATCTTGGTTGTCATCTGTCTTGACATGTAAGCCACCAGAAACTGACTTTGACACGAGTAACACGCAGGTTTGCTAGGATGTTTTTGCCACTCAGAGATGGTGAATATAAAAATCGCCATATTCAAACTTGCACACCGCTGCCGTATCATGAAACGTAGCTTCTTCCCAGTACTGGGAGAATGGGCATCACACCAACCAAGAAGTGGCAGACATGCAAGTGTGGGCAAAGGGTTGTAGAGTTTAGCTGGGTCATTATCACCCTTTCCTAAGATGTGGTAAGTAAACAGCAGGATGAACACCATACCCCAATTAAAATCTCCATTCCTAGCACCATAGTAGCCTTGGCTCAAGGACACTTGTTTTCTCCTTTCATGGCTCCTTTCACTGCCTCCTGGGAGCAGCCTGGGCTCGGTGGCTGGCAGTGGTGCGCTGACCAAAATGGCCTTGCATGCCATGCTCAGCGCATGTGCTGGGGGTTACTGACCCCTGATCTAGGCAGGGGCCCCCTCTATCTCTGGTTCCTGCTCCTCAGCCTGGCTCCTGCCCCTGCCTTCAGGCCAGGACTGCCGGCTGTACAATGCGGGGCCCCGCGCCACTGCCCTGGGCCTTCAGCAAAGGAAGCTTTGAGAGATCCCTTGCCCCCCGCGAGGGCAGGACTGCCCCGCTATTCCCCTGGCATCCCGCTCTGCAGAGGGGCAGCCCCTGCCACTGTCACTGTGCCGGGGGACCCCAGACAACCCCCTTGTCCCAGGCGGGCCAGGGGCCGGCCTCCCTGCTCCGAGTGAGCTCTCCCCCGGGGCCGGCCTCCCTGCTTCGAGTGAGCTCACCATTTCCCGGCAACTTCCCCTCCCCGGCCCCGGGCACCAAGCCCAGCGCTGCGGGGCGAGGGGCCCGACTGCTGCTGCCAGGTGGGGAGCCAGGGAGGACGGCCCCCCCGCGATGCCACCCGGCCCCAGGTGCTGTGGGGCTGCAGGCCGCCCTGCCCCGGGTGGGGACCGACCCCGACCCCGACCCCGCTCCAGCCGCGGGGGGGCGAATGAGGCGTCTTCCCCGCCCCCGCCCCCGCCCCACTACCTGGAAGGATGCTTCCTTCTCGGCGGAGTTTGAACTGCGGGCTGCTCCCCGCCTGCACCGGGGTTTTGCTGCGGGAGGCTGGACAAGCCCCACGTGCGAGGGGCGGCCCGCGGCTGCTCCCTCCCTCTGCCCAGAATTTCCATTTTCCCGCACGCTTTCCCCCGCGGGCTGCAGGCTGTCTCGCAGCAGCGACGTCGCTTCCTTCCGCTCCGCGCGCCCCGCGCCGCACGGCTCTTCCCCTGAACCCGGGCTCTTTTCTTACACCCACTGAAATCGTTGGGAAAACGGTTTTTGAGCAAGCGACAAATTTTTCGGCGAGCTAAAATATGTTGATGTTGATGTACTTGCCCTCAGCCGGACGGGCTCGGGTTACCAAGCCGCCCAGGTCCCCCTGCACGAGCCCGCTCCGCGGTGCCGACCCTTCTCCTGGCGGTCATGGCCAGCACAGGGTTTCTGAGCAGTGATTTTCGGGGGCCACTGATGAAGCCTGCTCAGTGACATGGCACTCGCCCCGGCGCCGCGGCGGCATTCATCGCTGGCTCTGGCATTTGTAGCCTGCAAGGAATAGGGCAAGTACAAGGCTTCCCCCCCCACCCCCCCTTTCAGTCCTCATAGCGAGACAAACTGACAGCACAGCACCAAACTGCACGTTTTACCCGGTTTTTAACTGAGATGAGTGATACACTGTAACCTTACACTTGGGGTTATTGTTTCACTTGTGGAGCTGGTTACAACGATATTATAGATTCGTGTCTTGACTTATTCCTCTAGGTATATATGCAGAATGCTTGTATTACGCTGGCGGGCTCCATTGTTAGTATAATAGTTGTGGTTGGGTTTCT